CCCCATAAATACTCTCTCATGATTGGGTTCACCTGTGTATGGAGGTCAAGGGTCACTGAGCTTACCAAGCAAATTCTAAGTTCCAATAATTATTTCTAAAGGTTTTAGAATCAATAAAATGACAACAGTGCTCAAATTTATACACCTGCTTATTTTTGTTTAAACAATTATTTCACACTTTCTGTAAATCCTTTAAACTTTGTTTCACTTCTCAAATATCACTGTGTGTGTGTGTGTGTGTGTCTCCTATAGGATATATCTATCTGCATTTTTATTTTAACAACCAACTAGATTTTGTAAAAATACAGAATGATCAATTATTATTATTATTATTATTATTATTATTATTATTATTATTATTATTATAATAATTATTATTATTTTAACCTAAAGCGGCCCTCAGACCGTTCTTGGGAAGGAAAACGAGTCTGATTCAGAATTCAGATCAGAGACTGAAGAGGAAAAGGAACGATGTTTAGATCCAGACAGAACTCAGAAATCATGTATGTAATAAACCACTGAAGCCTGTTTTACAAGAACTCACTCTAGTTCTGTAACTGTAGGTGAGATTTGTTAAACCTGATCCCAGTTCAAGACCATTTAGAACACAGAGACGAGCAGATTTAGCCTTTTCTTTTATAGTTTTGTCTAATTATTCTGTTTTCTGTTGTATTCTATTTTCATATTTGTTGTATCAAATGATGTTGATGTCCTCTCTGCTGACAGGATCTTGTGCACTTCGACCTTTCCGGACCAGCGGTGGCGTGCAGATCCATCCAGAGAGCAGCGTGTGGTGCATGATCTGCTACTTCTGTAGTGAGAGACAACCAACGCCAGGACATCCATACACAGACTTAAACTAAACACAACTGCAGCTCCATGGCCACATCTTTGGTTGCAGGAAGCAATCTGCATGAGCGGTTTGGGTCTTTTTAAAAAGAAGTTTCAAACCGTTATTTCTGAAACATGATAGAGCAGAAGTTTCAGCATGTAGTGAACGGTGATGAGGCACCACCTTTAAAACGTTTGTGGTTTCTTAGAACAGGACTGAGCTGATCTAGTGAAATCGTGAAACTGAAACAGTCTCTTTCTGTAAGTTCTACAAAATGTAAAATGTGCTTTTTTCAAAGGTGCCACCTGAGATGTTTGTCTGGATAATTTTTTTGCCGTATTGCTTCAAATGCTCTTCACATACTGATGAAAATAAATAAACCACATCCAATCATTGTGAATGTCCTGTTCTACGCAATTAGATCATAATCCATCCATCAAACAGCTCCTCTGAAAGTCCTTCCCCCTCCTGCACATATCCCCTCTCTGTGTGCACAAATCCCTTAGCTCACAGTGATCAACTAGCTTAATTTGTAAATCAAACGTTCCCGGAACGCAAATACTGACGTCAATGTAAAGTTCACTAAAGGCAAAACAGATGCCGGAACATGAATTGGTTAGCTGGAGTTTTTGACAATTAAAATTGCGTCCACATTTTCTAAGTTAAACACATCTCTTTTAACAACGGTAGTTTCTGCATCTTTACTGTTCCCCTGCTTCAGCCAGGGCCGGATTTAGTCAGCCCTTCAAAGGGGTGCAGGTAGATTATCAGGGGGGGCAGGTCTCAGAAATAATTTTTCGGGTGTCACATACCCCCAAATCCCTAAAATGTATAGAAAACTATGCTGTCATCATTACAGTTCTTCTATCCATATATCTATCTATTCCTTTGATCCATTCCTTACACTACCCTCTGCATTTACCCGGGCTTGGGACCGGCACAAATGGGACACTGGCTTGTTCCCTATTGGGGCTGCATTAATTATCTATCTTTTATTTTTTTAAGGTTTTTATCTTTTTATGTCCTTAATCTATTTTATCTATCTTATCTGTCTATCCTTCCATTTTTTATTTTACTTATATATATATATATATATATATATATATATATATATATATATATATATACATGTCACCAAGCAGGTTCCCGGATTCCAGCATTTGTGAAAGTTTCACTGCTAAAGGAAGACTAAAAACCAAAGTATGATCAAAAAGTTTTATTCTAAAACAGTCTGTTAAAAAAATATAAAAAAACTGTCTTTGCTGTTCAGAAATAAAACAGTTGCTCCCACCAACTGGAGCTCTGGTGCGTTCTCTTTACTGTCCTGCAGCCCAGCCAGCATACATTGGTGGGCCCCATGTGATATATAAATGTGCAAATTACTTGGGCCCCAAGTGGGCTTGTCCACGGTTTTTATGGTGGACCTATAAGGGTTTGCCCACATAGATTATAGTGGGCCCCAACTGGGTTTTCAGTGGAGCCCAGATGGTTGACCCATGAGATCCATGCATGCCCTACCTGTGTCCTTCAAGGGATGCTCAACTAGGTCTTAATGAGGTCTCAAGTGGGCTAGAATATGGGTAACATGTGGGTTTGTCCATGGTTTCCATGGTGGACCTACAGGGGTTTGCCCACATAGATTATAGTGGGCCCCAACTGGGTTTTCAGTGGAGCCCAGATGGTCGAATTACAGGACACCCATGCGTGCCCCATCTAAGTGCTTTGAGGGATGCTTAACTGGGCCTTACTGAGGTCTCAAGTGGGCTAGAATATGGGTAACATGTGGGTTTGTCCATGGTTTCCATGGTGGGCCTACAGGGGTTTGCCCACATAGATTGTAGTGGGCCCCAACTGGGTTTTCAGTGGGACCTAGATGGTTGACATACATCAGACCCATGCATACCTGAAGAGACAACTGGCCCTTAATAGGGTCTTAAGTGGGCCAAAATATGGGTAAAGAGTGGGGTTGTACTTGTTTCATTGGGGTTTTCAGTGGAACCCAGATGGTTTACTAACGCAAGACCCATGTATCCACCGCCTGGGTCCTAATGGGGTTTCATCTGGGGGAGGGTTGTTGTTGGCTGGGTCCAGTTAACCAGCTATTAATTGTTAAGGGCATCAATAGATGGTTAAGAAATTTTGGGAAACGTGCATCCCTACAGGCCAGGCATGGGATGTAATGACTATCCTAGTGGGTGCACTAACATTGTTCTCTCTGGAGGCTGTCTTGAGTGCGATAGCATTGTGCATGTCCCCTCATGTGTCCCGCCTCCTTTGTGGATGGTAGCTCTGCAGCCAGGGGCTGATGTGGGTACCCGTTAGCTGGGATGGCCATTATCAAGGGTGAACATGCACTAGGGGGTGTAGTGGTAAGGCTGGGGTGCTTTGTGTTCTGCTGCCCCTTGTGCCTGTTTCCTAGGAGATACTGCTTCGGCTTCTTGGGAAAATTACACTAAGGGAAATGCAATCTTAATTGACAAACAGAATTTCAAAATCTTATTTAAATGACACCTGTCTTTTCAGTTAAGGCTTTTAAGACACTGCTATGGCTGTTTACAGGCTAATGTTAAAAATTGGCAGTAATTTCTTTTGAATCCAGATGAGCAAAAAGCAATTGTTTCAAGAAAACATGTAAAATTATACAGTGAACAAACTAGACTAAAATGTCTATTGAAGGAAGAACAATTTAATGCATCTTCAACAGTACGGAATGAATAGAAAATATAATTTCCATTTCATTAAAGCACAAAACTAAATCAAATGTCCAAAGCATAACTTTTATTGGGCATCTACAAACACTCCACTTACATGTTGGTCACACTGTTCCAGTTTAAATTCTAACAAATGAGTTTCTGAAACCAAAATGATTTCAACTCCCAGACTTACATTCAAAGCTGCTGAACTAGGCATGTGTAAAAGGCTTGACTACAGAAAATGCTGTCCAT